TTTATCTAAAAATTTCAATATAACTCTACATGTATTATTCGGGTCCTGTTATACACATATACAAAAAAAAAAAAAAATAAAAAAAAATAAAATTATGAATATTTATTATTAAGAAAAATTGTTACCTTTTTTTTTAAAAAAAAAAAAAAAAAAATAGAGGGAATGTGGTTGATGCTGCAACAAGAACATCCGGACGACTTTGTTCTTGCCACAGGTGAAACTCATACTGTACGTGAATTCGTAGAAAAATCATTCGCAGTGATTGACAAGACTATTGTTTGGGAAGGTAATGGGGAAGAGCTTGTTGGTCGCGAAAAAGATACAAACATTATTCGTGTGCGAGTTGATCCGAAATATTTCCGTCCTACCGAGGTAGACTTGTTACTTGGAAATCCCGAAAAAGCAAATAAACAACTTTGTTGGAAACGAAAAGTGGATTTTGATTCTTTAGTAAAAGAAATGGTTTTAGCTGATATCGAAGGAGCTCGATCCAATTCGAAGAATTAAAAAACTCCGATTATTTAATCTATACAAATTTTTCTAGTTTTTTTTTTTTCACATTTATTAAATAGACATTTGAGTTGTTTAAAGAGAGCTAGAAATAAGTATGTATGCTGTGTTGCATTGTATTGTATTATATTCTGGTATATTACATATTAACAATAGTGTAGTTTTAGTGAAATTTTTGATTTTTTATCAATTTCATATAATACAATAATTTATAGAAAAAATGCTAGAACTTTATATTAATGATTGTTTGGTGCAATGTTGTTAATTTTCCTTCCAGTGGGAAAATTTTGACCTTCCAATGGTGTAAACGTTACAGTGACACTATTAATTTTATTTCCAGTGGCTTCCAGTGGGCTTCCAATGACGACACTGAGCAAGAGTATATACAATGCTTTCGATTTCGTGATACGGCATCTTGCCTTTTTTATGTTTAAAGTGGCTAGTAATATTTGATAATAACAATAAAAAACAAATGACCAAATTTAGGGAAGATGCGTTTCACAAATTTAATATTGCTTATTTGTTTAGTCTTGTAAGTTTATTAGAGAAAACAAGCTAAAATATACTGTCAGACCTCCCTAAATGCACGTCATCGGGACCAGCTCTAGAGCGTGCATTTAGGGAGGGTTGCAATTAGAGAACACAAATAAAATCACAATGTGACTACTATCATGTGATAAATATACCTTTAGTAGCCTAGAAATAATGAATTTGATTGGCCGGTAATCAGGTAGATGCATTTATGGAGGAGTTTTTAAAAGTGGGCCAGGCAATTAGAGTGCACTTACAGAATAAAGAACGTGCATTTATCTATAAGTTCCACCATGGGCCCGGACTTATATCATGCATTTAGGGGTCTGACAATAATACGGGTTGTGCAAATGCAACCAATAATATGAATGGCTAATGTCTTCTATGAGCAATAGTTTTTTATTGGTGCAACTAACAATACATGCATAACGGTTCAACACTTTTGCATGATTGCGCATGTATCGCACGCACGCACGTACGTACATGAATTCGTGCAACTTTCGTACAATATACAAAAGGACATTCAAAATTGTACAAACATTATAATTTTAGTTGATTAAGTCGATATAGTGATCGTATTTAGATGATTTTAATACCATTCAAATCGACTCAGTGAGAAGATTCCAATGATACTAAAATCAACCAAATCAGATCACTACATTATGTAATATCCCGATTTAATCAACTCGAATTACAATTTTTTTTGTACAACTTTGAACGCCTTTTGTTATACGAATTTAAATGCCATGTTGTTCGTACGAATTTGAGTGTCAAAAAGGATAATAAATAGCCAAATATGAATATGAGTGACACCAAAGAAAAATGGGACATTGGTTCATAAATGATTATTTATTTAAATACGTGCGTAATAAATAATAAACCCATTGCCCTAGTTTCCCTGGCGTCACTCGTATAAACAAATGAAAAATAATAAAAGTAGTAGTGCCTTTCTCTTAATTAATCGACTGAATAAAATAAAAAAAAATACTCGCATTGTATTACCCTTGGTATCGGTCTAAGCGAAATAATCAGTGCATACCATTTTTAGTGACGCAAGTCATTTATTTATCTGCGACATTATCTTGTCGCTTCCATAACTTTTAAAACTTAAATCTAACTAAAAGCGCTAGTTTCTACTATTGTACTACCAAAAACGAATAAACTTTAAAAGCCGGTTTTAACACCACATCGTATATTATAGAAATGTTACTCAATAACCGAAGTTATGTTTTCTATACAATATGCGCACTCGCTTTCTTATTGTTAGCGACGATTCTACTAGTAATGGAAATCTTGAATCACGAAGATATTAAGATACCTAATGAGTTACCTATTGCGTTTAATAATACAACAGAATTAATAAATAAACTTAAGATCAGACCTACCAATTTAATTGAATGGAAACAAAGACATCATATTACAGGCTATTTAAATAAAGACCGAAAAATGAGGATATATATAATTCTGGGTGATTGGTATGAAGCTGAAGATTATCCAAGGCTCAAATATAATCATGACGAAACATTGTCAGATTGCGACGTACCATGTATCTGGAAAGTAAAAGATTTAGGAAGCCTAACGCGAAAAGAACTTAAAAGTGCTGATGCTCTTCTTTGTGTTAACCAACCAATAAATTTACCAAAAGAAAAAGCATGGAAAGGGCAAAAATTCATACTATATAATTTAGAGCCTAAAGAGGCTTGTCCACATTGTCATAATCAAAATCACCTATTTGATATCCATGCAACCTATGATGATGATTCTGAGGTACCTACAAGCTATGTTAGAATGGACTCCAAACATTGGCGTTCAAAATCTCCCTTTAATGTAACAAAGCTCTCCAAAAATTCTACATTTGTCTCATTTATTGCTTCTCATTGGACACAATTCAGGGAAGATTTTATTTCAAGTATTGAGACTTATATTCCCATTGCATCCTTCGGTAGTGTTCGCCATAACTCTGATTGGGACCTTCATCCAGAATGCGTGTATTCAGAACGTTTTACTGCAAAAAATTGTATTATTTCTAAATATCCATTTTATTTAGCGATTGAAAACTCTAAGGAAAAGGATTATTCTACTGAAAAGCTTTGGGATACATTTAATTTGGGTGTTGTGCCTGTTATATGGGGTGCGCCTAATACTCGTTCTTACTTACCTCATC